TAACATTATTTATTTTGCAATGAAAGTTTAGAATGCTAATTGTGTCTTCATGAATTGTAAAATATTTCAAACTATACATAACACCAAGAATTTACATTTTTGAAAAAATAATACTTGACTACGGTGTCAAAATAACTTTTTATGTAAAGTTTGGGTATTTAAATTACATATGCAAGTTTGGGGTGTTCATCTCCCACTCCCTCGAAGTTTGGGGTATTTTAATTATGTTTCCCCTAATTTAAATACATATAATATATATTAATAGGTGTAGAGAGAATTGGAGAAGATGAAAATGGAGATTATTAGAGAGAATTAGAGAGTAGGAAGAATTGAAGAATAGGTGTAGAAAAATGTTTAGAAAATAAGAGTATATATGGATTTTATTTTGTACCTCCAACCCCAAACCCACCCCAACCCCCCTAGACCCCCGGCTAGGGGTGGATTCGGTTCGGGCCACCCGGCCCGGCCCGCTACTGTGCGGGCCCGGGACCGGCCCGGTATGGCGGTCCGGGACCGGGTGTAGACCCGAACCGGTGGGGATGGGTGGGGCGGGCTCGGTTCCGGAAATAGTTGACCCGGCCCAGCCGGGTCGGGCCCGGGTCCGGGTCCAACGGTCACATTTTTTAAAAAAAATGTTTTGGAGTTTTGGGCCAAAATCGCCGTTGAGGGGTGGGCTGCAGGGGGGTCCGGGGGGTGGGGGGGTAAAAAAACCTATAAATATTCCTAATCTAAAACATTTTTTCATATCTCTTCTCCAATTCTTCCTAAATCCTATTCTTAACTCTCTACTCTCTAATTCTCTTATTCTCCAATATATTATATTTATTATTTATATATCTACTTTATATTAATTATCTACTTATAATTTATAAATACATACATTATAATATTATATTACTTATATTTCTTATCTAATTATATATTACTTATACATTAATTATATCTATTAATATAGTTGGAATTATATCTAATTAATTTGAAGTCATTCTATTACTCCCATCCGAAAGACCGAAAGTCCGAAAGAGGTACGAAATCATTCTATTATTTACACTTGTTTAATTTTGTATTAACGTTACTTGAAAAAAAAACTAGTTAATTCTCATAATAGTTAAAGTTAAACAATAATAATTTGATTGTTAGTAAAAAAAATAGATTGTACAAAAAACTAGTTGTAATTCTCATTATAGTTAAAGTTAAAGTGTATTAATTTCATTGTTAGTAAAAAAATAGGTTGTACACAAAACTAGTTAATTCACTAGTTAATTTGATTAAAGTAAACTTTAAAATACTAATTTGCTAAAACTCGAATTAATAGTTAGATTAATAGTTAATTACTTTATTACAATTTTTTATTAATTGCTACATTTGACTCTAGTTTAAAAAACTAGTTAATTCTCATTATAGTTAAAGTTAAAGTATATTAATTTCATTGTTAGTAAAAAAAATAGGTTGTACACAAAACTAGTTAATTCACTAGTTAATTTGATTAAAGTAAACTTTAAAATACTAATTTTCTATAACTCCAATTTTTTATTAATATATTTTTATTAATATATTTGTTGCAATTTAATATTTGTTACATTTTTTAGATGGATCATCCTAGATATTCGGTTGATATGGGTAACCTCGAGCGCAACCGAACGAAAGAGCTTGCGAGGAAGAGATCCCGCAAAGGTAAATCACATATCGGCTCTTCATCTCAAAGTCGAGATGATTTTGATACGGGTTACGCAAGGAGGGATGGGGATGCGATGACCGACGAACAACTAGAATAAGAATTGCACCGACATAATTCCCGCTTTTTTCAAGACCAACCGAGGACCATTGACGAAGAAGAGCTCGAGGACGACGATGTGGAGGAAGTAATTCCGGAGAGCCACGACAACGAGGAGGAGGAGGAGGGTGGCGGCAGCCACGACACCGACGAGCCTGCCTCATCCCAAACCGGTACGAAAAAAAGTAAATCTGAACTAATGGCTAATAATTTTTCTAAGTGGAAGGACCCGAACACCGGGAATTGGACCGCAACTTGCAATTGGTGCAAGAAAAACTATAGCTTGGGGATTTCCGGCGGATACGGATCCGCCACAAGACATCTTAAGTCCAAACACCCGGTGGAGTATGCAAAATTAGGCGGCGGAACGGGGAAGCAAACTCAAATATCGAGGTTTGCAAATAACCAACAAGCTTTTCATAATTTCTCATACAATGATGCACAAAATTTGACTGGTATGGCTAACTTACTTGTTGAAGAAAATTTGCCTTATTTGTTTTCTGAAAGTCTTGCTTTTCGTGATTATGCACAAACTTGTTTAAATCCGCAATATAGAGGTTATAGTCGCAAAACGGTTAAAAAAGAAATTTCAAGGCTTTGTAGTGCGGAAAAGGTAAGGTTACAAAATTATTTTGCAAACTTTGATGGGCGTGTTACTGTATGTTCTGACATATGGGAGGATACTTATCATAATTTACATTATTTGGGTCTTATTGTACATTATATTGATAATGATTGGCATATGCATAAACGTGTTCTTGCTTTCCGTGAATTTAATGATCGTCACACCGCTGAACATGTTTATATTTTGATTGAGCGTATTTTAATTGAGTATAATTTAATTGATAAGGTGTTTGCTATTGGTTTTGATAATGTTACTAATAATACTGTTGCTATTCCTAGATTGCGTGAATTGTGTGGTTCTACTTCTTTGATGGGTAGATTTTTTCATCAACGATGTGCATGTCATGTTCTAAATTTATGTGTGCAAGATGGTCTAAAAGCATTGGGAGCATCTTTGGAGGTAGTCAAGGGGGGATTAGACGTATTTGGGGTAATGGACAACTTAGAAAAAAATGGCATGATTATTTGATAGAAAGAGGTGAGAAATATGTGGCTTTTCCTAAAGATTTGTCAATTCGTTGGAATAGTACGGTAGTGCCTATAAGTTAATTGGAGTTCTTCTTAGATATAAACATCATTTTCCTGCTTTTATGAAACAATATGATGACTATATTATAAACTCGGCTGAGATCGACACCTGTGAAAAAATTTGTAATTTTTTGATATATTTTAATAATGCAACTGAAATTTTTAGACATGTTTATAAACCTACCTTAAACAAATTTATTCGTGAAGCTGTTAATCTCGCCGGTGCTTTTTCAAATTTTGAGAATGCTGATTATGTGAGTTATTTTGCTAGTTTTATGAAGGAAAAGTTTTTAAAATATTATTCACATATTCCGCATATTTATGATATTGCATTTGTTCTCGATCCTCGTTTTAGACTTGGTTCTTTAGAAGAATGTTTGAATTAATATTATGCTGCTTTTTTGGTCCATTGCCAATGTATGAGGACAACCCAATTGATCCGAAAAAAGAATACAATGAGGTTAGTGATATATTTTATGCATTATTTAATGAGTTTCATGCACAATATGGCAATGCGCCCCCTCCCCCGACACAAACATCATCTAAAGGAAAATCAATTTTCAAATCTACATTTGCCGATCTTATTAAAAAAACGAAATCAACTCCCGCTACGCAACAAAGCACAATTAATGAGATTTCTTTGTATTTACCATATGATGTTGATTTTGAAGAAGATGATGATTTTGACGTACTAAACTGGTGGAAGGGAAAAGAAAGAATGTTCTCGGTTTTAGCAAAGATGACTAAGCAAGTGCTATCAATGTCGGTTTCAACGGTTGCCGTGGAACAAGAATTTAGTTCGGCCGGCAATGTCCTAACGCAATGTAGAACGAGGTTGAGCGCAGAATCTCTTGAGATGCTTATATGCTACCACGATTGGTTGTAAGCGGCCCGTAGAGCTCAAGAAATTGACATCACCCCATCCCAACACTTTTTGGATGAATCTACATTCGAGGGTGACTCTACCTATGTCGGAGATTCCGATTGAATGATCTATTAGTATTTCATGTTTTAATTTTACCTTCAATTCTCAATTGTAACCTGTAAACTTGTAGTTCATATTTCAAATAAATATACATTCATTTTTTTATATGTAGCATTTTTTTTTGAATTCATAAAATTAATTAATTAATTTTACATTATGTAATTTATTGAAAATAAAACATACAAAAAAATTTGAAATCAAAAGCCCCAAACGGCTATATAGCCACATTGGTAGTTTGGTTGTTTGAAATTTGAATCAATAGAGGCATAGAGCCGTTGGGGGTGGGGGTGGGTGGGGTGTGGGGGTACAAAAAATTCTATAAATACTCTTATTTTCTAACATTTTTATACACATCTTCTCCAACATCCAATCTCTAATCTCCGTTCTCCATCTTCATCTCCATCTATTGTAGAATTATTATATCTACCATTTTTAAGATGGAAAGTCAAGATGCTGTTATACGGTATAATTTTGATAAGCAGAAGGACCCGAGGACCGGGATGTGATACGCAACTTGCAAATGGTGCGGGAAAAAATGTAGGAGGTTTCAGGCAGATACGGTATGGCAATGAAGCATATTAAGTCATGTGACAAAGCCAAAGGATCGAGAGGTGCAGGAATTTCCAATTGATTACAATTTACAAAATGTATGTTTCTCTTGAAGTTTGTCTTAATTTTCAAATGTAGTTCCTATTTCATTTCAAATAAATGCACTTGAAGTTTGTTTTTAATACTTGTATAAAACTATAAAGTATAAATTATATAAAAAAAATTAGTTTAACCGGCCTGGCCCGGCGGGTGGCCCGACCCGTGACCCAGGCGGGTGGCCCGGCCCGTGGCCCGGCCCGAACCGGACCCGTCCAACCCTCGGGCCAGTCCCAGGTCCATGAGATACAAACCGGCGGCCCGACCCGGGCCCGACCCTGCCCGAGTCCATAACTACTCTGATTGATGAATTCACATACAATTCATTTCTCCTACAATTTTAATAAAAACATTAAGCACATATTTTGTCGTGCGGTGTACGGGTACACATATTAGTTGTTTAATCATTCAAAGTTTATGATTGGATTATAAAAGTTTATAATAGGATGCATTTGGGATTTCATTCAAATTTCAAAGTAACCACTTTGATGAGTTTGATCATTTCAGTGAAGTTTATAACTGGATTCTACCAAAAAAAAGTTAATAATTTAATCATTTTTTACATGATTCATAGTCAGCTGCATCACATTGTTCCATACTCGATTGGAAATTTGTATCACCATTCAGAATGTACAAGGTACAGACAGTACATGTCCTGCATACAACGACTACACATTTTTAGAAGTTAATAATAAAAATTAGTACGTAATAAATGAGTACCCTTGACAACACTAAAAAAATGAACAAAAAGGGGGACCCCTCACTTCCCCCAAATTCGATCTCCAAGTATCCAACCAGTAAACAAAAAATTTGCACTTGGTACTCGCTCAGGAGTCGGGACAAGAGAAAGTATACATGGACGGCATAGGCATTGAGAATTGGACAACAAACTCCAACAGTCAAAAGTTATCTCAATCATCACAAAAAATAATCAGGCGTCTTTCTCGTAGTATCAGGCTCAATCTGTCGAGGGGCAGGGTCAAATTGGAGAAAATTCTGCTCCATATTTTCCCCGATTTCTAGTATTGCTGCCATGTTACCGCACCGGTAACAATAGTTTGGTGCACTAAATACTGTAACCACATTTTTCTCCTGCAAAGATGGTGCACAAAACATAATAGCATTCATTAAATTGTCTGGTCTATATTTGGGAGTTAACCTTTGGAGGCACACAGAGGGAATAACAGATCTCAACATAACAGATCATACTTCGGCAATCGTAAAATACACATAGACCACAATCTATCAGACTTAAATAGACTAGACTTAAATAGACTAGACTTCAACAATTGTAGAATACACATAGACCAAATCAAACCAGAAAATTTTAGTTTAATTAAAATTTCATATCAAAAGAACACAAAGACCACAAATCTACGAGACCAGAACATATCACACCAGATCGTGCCAATTACTCTCAACTCGGCAAGTCCTCGGCGAGTTTCTCAACTCGGGGAAGTTCTCAACTCGGCGAGTTACTCGGTCGGGCATAATTTTATTGCTCTTAAATCTGAAATTTTTTAATTAAAGCGGGACATTACGGAATTTATATATAATGAGTGGGTACTTTAAAAATTGGAAATAAACCTTAAAAAGTCTAGATTTAAAAGTATTTCATACATCTCCTCCATGCCTCCATCTTCTTTCTTGTTTCTTTTTCATTAGTTTTTTTCATATCTAATAATTATAAGAATATATTACTATAATTTTGAATATTTATATTTCTAAATTTAATTAATATAGGATCGAGTAGACTATATAATCCCGAGTACTAGGTAGTAGGTCCTACTCGCCTTGCAGGCTTGCACTCAGCCCTTAACCGAGTACTAGGTTGCATGTGATCGTTTGGTGTTAGGAGGAGGGAAGGGATGGAGGAGCTATAGAAAAACTCCAGACTCCCCTTGCAGGCTTGCACTCCCCAAATTTGGGGAGTTGACGAGTTGTTTCTCACTTTTTTACCAAAACTATCTTATACGTACTTATACGTAGTACTACGTATTCCCCATCAGCGAAAGTTCGCCCTATTCGACTTTCTTGATCAAAGGTAGTATTTTTTTACAAAATCATTTATTACTCCGTATATGAAAGTGACATGACAATATTCTTAGTTAAAAGTAAAAAAATTAAAATTTCAATAGAATATATTGATTAAAAACATAGGCCAAAGATTAAGATATGTGTCCAAGACAATAAAAAATGGCACCGTTTTTAGGGCAGAGGAATTATTTTTGTTATTGTTATTATACATGTAGATCAATACTCCGTATATTTTAAATTATAACAAAAGTTATAACAAATAAAATATTTTTTACACATGTATCGAAAATGCTTTTTCCTCTCCACTCCATTGAACCAAACATAATATTTAATTGAGCCCCCCCCCCCCCCCCCCCCCCACCACACACACACACAGAAAGCACATTTTCCTCATTCCTTCCCCTCTTTTGAACCAGAAGAGGGACTTAAGTTAACCAGGTAGGTATTTATTGGGGAGTTGGGTTCTCAGGGAGAGTGACTATTTTTCATTTAAAAAAATAGTGGTTAAGGGTGAAATAGTTTATAAGTAAAAGATGTAGAATGATTACTAGTAATTTTAAATTTTTAATGTCGCAGTCATTAAGTTATTATTACCAAAAACCATATGTTTGAGGTAGTTGCCCCACACTAGCACAATATATAATAACAAAGAAATACTCCATATAAAGATACAAAAGGGTCAAATAGGCTCTTCTACTATATTTGATATATCACTTAAGTCCTTGTACTAAAAAAAGTACGGAGTATCATATACATATATTTACTTTTTTCTGCATATGATAGAGTCAAAGACTCGCTATTTTTGGCTTGGGAATATGATGGAGTAAAGCAAAAGGGCTCACTAAACTCCCTACGCTTCTTTGTTATGAAGCGACAGCCAATCTATGCAATTTTCGACGCAATTTTCATTATGGGTCATCTGCAAACAATCTCTTTGTGCTTTAGTACAGGGGCAAGACTACGTACATCCGACCCCCCTTACCACACCGTAGGTGGGAGCCTTTGACGCACTGGGGTGATGATGATGATGATAAATGTATTTACTTTAAAAACACAGTCAATTAAGCCACTTTAACCTGCTATAGCAGGTTATTTTAAATAAATTAAAATAATTGATTAATCTTATAATAATTCATATAAATTTGAACAATAATGCAATAATAATATAAAAATAGTATTTGGTTCAAAAATAGATAACAATAATTAACACGTTAAAATTAAAATAAAAAATTGAAAAATTAAAAAATTTAAGTGATAGTGTAAAAATTAAAAATTAAATAGTGATTACTTTTTAAAGATATACTCCGTAGAATATACGGAGTACAAATAATTCAAAAAATGCAATAATCTAAACTTTGACATTCTTATATTGTTCGTACTTTTTATTTATATTTCTTTAAATTTTAATAATTTTTTAATTTTTTCAATATAAAAACCTGCTATTACAGGTCAAGAACCGGTTAAAAAGCCAAATTAATCAAACAAATGCATTGGCCCAAGCATACCTTAAAAGCAAATGAGGGATCAATCAAACAAAATAACAAATGCAGAAACCTATTATTAGGGGAAAAAGGGGTTCATTAAGGTCAACAACCTGGCACCAGTTGTAACCCTCCATCACAAGCTGATGAGCTCTAGAGATCAGAGTGAGCCCATTTGTATGATTGAACTGAGCAGCTATATCTTGTCCGAAGGTGTATCCAGCCCCTCGAGGAGATATCCCCCAACCACATCGATCATCTGGATCAGACCATAACAGATCACACATTGGCCCTTCATGGGGGACCTACAAAAGGTACAACCAGAAGACGATGATTGATTTGAGTTTCCAACAGCTATTAGCATTTCTGTTCACTAGGAAGATTCAAAAGCGGTGTTACTCCCTCTGAGGTTTGGTCAAATTAACAAATGACCTTGAGGTTCTGAAAACTAGAACTAAGCCTCCTCCCTTACTAAATAATACTTCGTATTTCAGTTAAAAGAGCCACTCACTGAAATACTGAATATCAAACTGGTCAATGTGTTTTTTGTGATTTTCGGAAACCTAGTGTGATTTGGTAATTTGACAAGACATGAGGGAGGTGGATGTGATTAACTCTTCAAAAAAACAAGGACTAGGTGGCAGGCAGGGTTAGAGCATCTCCAGCGGTTAGCTAATTGTCCTCATAGCTTGACTAGCCACATAAGCATTTGTAGCAAAATTGAAATTTACTCCAATGGCTAGCTATAACTTTTTCCTCTTTATTTATGATTAATAATGCTATACTTAATAATTCTCCTTGCTCAAGCTAGTAGCTCATTTAGGCTAATTAGCTTTCTCAAGCAAAAGGAGCTTTCTCAAGCAAAAGGAAAAACAATACTCCAATGGCAAGCTATTAGCTTTAAAATTGCAAGTGGTCCTCAAAGCAAACCATTGGAGATGCCCTTAGGAGGGTACTCATGTTAGGCCTAGTGCCTAAGCAGCGCAAACTGGGGATTTTGAGAAGAAAGGTTTTAAAAAACTATTCTGCATGCAGAATTTAACCACACTTCTTATCATATACCTCTTGTATTCGATCCAGAGCTCTGATATTATCAAGCGTATCTAAGGATGGTGAGAGTCCACCATGTAAACAAAATACCTATATGATCAACCAATATTATATTAGCAATTTTTTTCGAACAATCAAAAGAGGTTATTACAATGATTCATGTGGGAGGACAGTAAACAAACCTGACTCTCTATAAGTGCTGTAAGGGGTAGATAGTCAAACAGATCAGTGAAAAACTTCCAAACATTGGCATTTCCATACTTTCTCAGGCATTCATCATAGAAACCATATCTGGCAGACGTACAGGCATTAAGATTCTCTAAATGAAGTTATAAAAAGCAAAAGTTTGACAAACCTCAAACAAAACTATATATTATTCATAAAAGGAACATATCTGACTCGATAATTAGTGTATCTATCTGTTACTTGTACATCTCTATGTTTTGCATCAAATCATTTCAAACTCAAGATATTAAATACTTGATCCGAACTAATTGCAGTTGCTTACATGGATTATTTTCCTAAACTCTGACATCAGTTGTAAGAACCTCCGCCTAACCCTCATAATCTCTACTTAGGTGATACTCTTGTCACATACCTATGTTTTCCCAACATAAGCCCCTTTAGTTCCACCACGGTACTCCCTAATCATGACAAATCCCCAACTAGACCCATTTCTGCCACTTTACTGGTCACTGTCGCTTTTTACAATATTGTTTTGAGCTTTTCCAACTCCAACTTTCCATTTCATTCACCTTTTTGCAATCCCAAAAATAAGTATAACCGGTTTCAGTCATACCAATGAGAGGCAAATATCTACGACAATGACTGTTGACGATCAAATTTTTGTTTGATAAATGACAGATCAGCCAAAATTTGATACGTATGAGTCAAATTGGTTAAATTAAATGCTTGATTAATGGTAACTTTCTTTAACAGTTGCACTCAATTTTTTAAAATTGAAAAGGCATATGGGATTCAAATTTAGAAAGTGAACATTATTTTGGAATGACCTACAAAAGAATGTTTTAACAAAAAAACTAGATGATGAGAGTAATTTACTCTTGATCTGAAACTTCCATTAAATTGATAAGGACAGTTAAAATAATTAACTTAGTAGTGTCACTTCACATGTTACTGATTAGCACTAGCAGCTAACATTATCAAACACCTTCCAACAACCCTTGTTTATGAGCAATGAACACCCACGCCCGTTGGCGGGGTCTGACCGCCAAAGAGGTGTTATGACCCATGAACACTTGCGCCCGTTGGCAGAGACTGGCACACTCAAAAGCCAATCATTGATAGTTTATACTTTTTGTATTTACCACTTCACCCTTTATATTTACTGAAAAGACTCAATTTCTTATGTAAGTGCAGCTTTGGAACCCCTGAAATATGTCTTATATATTTGTTTGGTAGACTGCTTAAAGTTTACCATCTTTAACAAATTTTCTACCAAAAACCATTTTATTTGCATGTTCTGAATCAGTTGATATTTGATAATATGGTAAAATGGTGCAGAAGTTTTTTGGGCTAAAATCCTAAAATAACTTCAGCAAAGGTAAATAATATTTTTACCATTATTTTCATATATAAGTTGCTTTATTTTATTAAAAGTATTTTTAAACGATGTTTTTAATATTAGTAGACTACTTAATATCTTTATAAATCTAGCCAGATTTTCTACCAATCAGCGACTTATTTGCGTGCTCAAATTGAATCAGTTGATAACTTGATGATAACAAAAAAATGCAAAAGCCGCTTTTTGGATGAAATGAAAGGAAATGATGATTTAACTCAGTTTTCATGTTCTTTTTTATTATATTAAAAAATAATACGCAATTATTTTTATAAATTTAATCCATATAGCAATTTCAGCCAATTCGACCTAAGAATCAGTTCGGTGAGGTTATTCGGATGCTAGGGATTAAAGTGCAAGTTTATCTATAAGTAAAGGCATTTGATAAAACCAACTTCACGCAAATAAAACAAATAAGTCTACCAAACAGGCTGTATATTTCCCCTTACCAAACCGGCTATAACATACAGTGCATTCATGAGTAATGGTCTACTGCACCTTAAATAATTACTATAACCACATTCAGGCTGTCTAATGAATTTGAGAGACCCTGTTTTATAAGAAAGTATAAAACATACACTTGTGTGATTTGCCGGCTTTCATGATTTCCTCTAAGAATGGTGATTCTGTCTCTGTAGCGGACTTTTAGGGCAACCAAAAGTGTAACAGTCTCAACTGAGTAATAGCCACGATCTGTATTTGGCGAAGGCATTACTATCACGATTGTACAGCATTACAGAAGAATGTCTTTTTGTGAAGAATATGAATATGCAGAATCTAAACAATAAAAACACATATGTAGATAAATAACCAGGGTACTGAATTCCATGGTACAGCTTATCCCATAATGATATTTCATGCAAATTTGCGATAATAAGATATGTTTGAAACTTGAGTTATAGCCCAGTGAAGTATCTTTTATTTGGCAGTTGCTTTAAGGGTTACATTTGGGTCTTGGAAAATGCTAGAGCCTAGAGCACTACGCAAAGGAATACAATTGCAAAGGATTCATATTTTCTTATGCTTGGATTTACCTTGATAAAAGTACACCTTCTTTTCCAAAAATTTAAGTACATTTAGATTTCTTAGTCTTTACAAAATACATTAAACACATAATGAGTTTCAAGTTTCAACAAGTGATAAAAAAAAGACCTTTTGAGTCTGAACCTAATTTTTACTTCCCCCCATTATCCACCCCTAAGTTTCCTCCTTGTAACTTTCTCTAGCACTATCTGGGTGCCAAACGGACCATATGATAGTAGTGAGTGATGAAGGTAATGTTTAAATTTTGCAAGGACTCATTCCTACGCTGGTTTGCATTAGATAGGCTAGAGATGCTTCCAAGTGACATGAACTCTTTCATGATGACCTTAAACCCATCATGAACACAGACCATTAATCCTACTATCATTTAAAGCCTAACACAAGAAGATCCCCCATAAAGCTAGCCCCTTTATATGAAGAGATTTCAAAGAAGGTGATTTAACACAGCAGAATCGTCATGAAAAGGGGGGGAAGAGAATCAAAGCACACAGTGCAGAAAAAACTTTTCGTCATGACTTAATGCATCAAATGATAAACGTAACCAGTTCAGTCATATTCTGAAGGATTTACAAATGATAGATACTTAGCAATTTGTAATTCTTTAGTACCAAAAACATGAACTACTGTTCCACTCGAATAATTACAACATTATCTAACAGATTGGATAACCAGGTCCAAGGTCTTCTAGACCTTTTCTATGTGGACTTCCTATATGGGATCGGGAAAGTTTTCACCTTTTACTGTTTATATGTGCACTTCCAGGATGAAAACGAGTTCATACTACAAAGAGAAATTCATTGGATAGCCGTGCAGTAAACTGAGCATATACCGACTGAATACAAACGTATCCACAGTCACACATTCCAAAGCATGAGGTAGGATACTGGACATCCAATTACAGAATATGTTTTCTTACTTACCAACATAATCTCCCATGAAGAGGTAATTCGTGTCAGGAGCGTTGCCGCCTATGCGAAATAGCTCGATCAGATCATAGAACTGGCCGTGAATATCTCCACATACGGTGACTGGACATTTTACCGGCTGAACATTCCACTCCTCCACTAGAATCGCCCTCGCCTGATCACACAACGCTTTCACCTCGGATTCTGTCAGAGGCTTGCACTCCATCAACTGCTCGATCTGCCGATCCAGATCCCCATGCGCAGGCATTTTAACAATTTTTTATTGATATACAATATTCACCCCTCCAGCTTCACCTCCAATCTCAAATTTTTCACGCTAAACAATCAAACATTCAAATCTTAAAAAACAGAGATAATTTAAAGAGAAACAAAGCAGTTTTTACAGACCAGAAACAAAATTCAGCACATCGAAATCGATTCAGTGTGGACAAAATGTTCAGGATTTTGTTAATCCAATCATCGTACGCCTGAGATTCATCTTCAGTAATACGAACTTTTGCTTATAGCTAATCTTACGTGTTTATATACCAGTATTAATTAATTAAAAGTATAAAGAAGGTGAAATAGAGGGAATTGGGGGATCAAGTCATGAAACTCAAATGAAGCCAAATGACATGAAATGAAATTCATTTTCCCTCTCTATCTTTCTCTCACTATCTCAAAATAAACGAAGTTAACGAACTCGAATTAGATGGTTCAAATTGAAACTCATTTTTAAATCGGAAACAAAATCAATTTTCAGAAATTGTTCTCTCTCAATTTCTCAAAAAGTTGTTTCTAAGAGTAGGTTAGAGCATCAGAAGTACTTCCTACTTTCATCCAAATATTCTAACTTCTGTTTCTGTTCCCTGAAGGAGCATAAACAGTTTTAAGAATCAGATTCAAACACCTCCAAATTTCGTGTATTAGCCTCATGGTCTTTGTGATTTAAAATAAATAAATCACATCACATGTATTATGATTACTTGTGACCAAACTCTTTCTATAAACAAATCTATTTGTCAAATAAATGAAAAATGATTAGCATTTTTGCATAACCCATAAATGAAAAATAAGATTCCCAAAATTTTATAGCATAAAATATTAATTCTGTCTCACTCAATTTTACCAAGTTGATATTGAGTGTGAAATTATAATAATAAAAATGTGTTGTTGGGGTTTGCACAGAGGAGAGAAAAATGTTCACAAATTCATTATTTTAAAAAGAAAGTGATAAAGTTTTTTGGACCAAAAAAAATTGACAAACACCCGTGGAACGAAGGGAATGGTTCCATTCTGATATCAAAAGAAATGTTTCTTTTGATGCCATAATTGACTTTCCCCTATAGCTACCATAATGCATTGAAAGATCTCGCAAGTTTAATTATATATTCAATCATAATATTAAAACAAGTAATTTCTAAATTGTTCAATTTGTTCTTGAAGAAATTTTTTCGCTCGAATAATTATAACATAGGGGGTTTGACGCATTTTTTAAATCACATGAGCTAATGTGCCGAATTTATATATTACAAGGGGGTTTGGTGCATTAAACTCAATGTTTTTAATTGGCCTGAAAATTTTTTGTCTAGTTTAATTTGGTCTAATTTAGTCTGTTTAAGTCTAGCATGATTTGGTATGAACTAGTCTGATCTAATCTGTTAGACGTCTCGTCTATATGTATTTTACCACTATCGAAGTCTGGTTTTATATGGTTTGTTTATGTTTGGTCTGATATATTTTGCTCTAATATGATATGAGACTATAATCATTCCAAAATAATATCATTAATGCATCACATTCGCTCGTGATATATAATTTTTGCGCATAATCATTTGTGATTTGTTAAATGTGACAAACACAATCGTAAAACCCATGTATTACAATTAGTTATGTGCATAACCCCCAAAGAACAAAATCCTTTACTGAATAAAGGGGAAAAATGATTAGTATATTTGTATAAATTAGACATCTTGACAAATTGAAATAATGACCCCAATATTACTTCTAGCTAGAGTTTGTACAAACAAAAATATGACTGAATCTCATATTGACAAAAATATGATTGTTCTAAGTTATGCACTTCCAGACTTCTGCATCATCATTCGAGAGCCTTGGATCTGCGAGCGGCTCATCACCTTCAACGCCATCTCTGCCTTGGATCTGTCGAGCGGCTCCTCACCTTCTTCGTCCACACGCCTTGCCATCGCCGTCGGTAATCTCTGCGATGCCGCCAGCCCACCCGCCAGACGTCTTCGCATCGTTGCTGCCTCCTCCGATCATCTCTGCATCTGTCGATCTGCTTCGATCCGGTCGTTGCACACCTCACCGACTTACTATCTTCACTTTACTTTTCCTTTTTTCTTCTTCTCTTTCAGTGATGGTGAGGCGATGGTGTGTTTCAATTGTGGACCTAGGTTTGCGGCAATGAGAGGAATCAGATCAGGAAAGCTGGGATGGGGGCTGTGAGGGTGCTGGTGGCCAGGCAGGGGAGGGGGCTGGTGGGCTGCGCGGCGATTGCTGGGGAGGGGAACTGAGGGTGGGGGGACTGGAGAAGGGGGCTAGGGAGGTGGCTGGTAGGCTGTGGAGGGGGGCTTGTAGGCTGAGGAGGGGGCTGGTGGGTTGGGGAGGGGGTGGGGCTGGTGGGTTGTGGTGGGGCTAGACAGAGGGCTGGTGGGTTGAGGTGGGACTGACCGACTGACAGGTTGAGGTGGGGCTGGGGAGGGGGCTGGTGGTCTAGGGAGTTACCGGTGTGGTAACGATTAGGGCGGCGGCTGTTAACGGTGGTGGTTGTCGGGGGTGTGGGGGGCCAAGTACGAGTGTGGAGTCGGGGGTGGCGGTTGATCGGCCGTGGTGTTGGCGGCTAACTAAAAATACATTTAATGAGTTTTAATGCTAAAAATTGAAAAGAGTATCTCTGGCCACCCACAACAATGGCCACTGCCACAACCGGCACCGCTAGTAGTCTTTCCGCACCGTTGCTCAGTGACTTGCTCCGGTCATAGTGACCACCGCTCAATTACTCGCTCCGGCCATAGTGATCACCTTGCTCCATCCAGTGACTTGCTCTGGCCAAAGTGACCACCGCTTAGTGACTTGTTCCGACCGTAGTGACCACCTTGCTTCGTCCAGTTACTTGCTCCCAACACATCCAGTGACTGTCACCTTCCCATTCCAGTAACCACCTTTGTCTAGTACTGTCGCCCCAATCCGTTCAGTGACCACCACCCCAACCACCGGCACCGCCAATCACTGTCGTCACCCCCATCGCTTAAAATTTACTTAAGAGAATAAATTTCTGCCTCAGATCTGAGGAGAAGGACGGCGAACCGCCGGATAGAGAAAGATGAGAAGAAAATGAGGAAGGCAATCAGGTCTGCAACGAAGAGGAACGACGACGATGACCAACAGTGGCGGCGAAGAAGAGGCATCAGCGAGGCAAGACGGTGGCGTCAAAGAGGCAGCGGCGAGGCAAGGCGGCGGCGAAGAGGGGTCGGTGGCTCCTATGAAGTGAAGTGCCGAATTGAAAAGAGGGAGGCTCCTCTGGCTTCTAATTACGGCGGAAGTGCAGGGGTGCAATTAGGGATGCCGCATCTTTCAATTAATTTTTGGTCATATTTTAAGGAAAGAACAAATGAGATCATATTTTGGGAAATGTAAAGATCATTAGTAATATTAATGCAATTCTTTCTATATTCAATTTTAGAATTTATGACATATTAGTAATGGTTGAGTATAAAATGAAATACATTAGTAACAATGTTTTATGTTATGAAATAATGTGATACCATTATGTTGCTAGAATGAAATCGCATAAAAATGGAAAAGGTCCAAATACGTAAAACAGCACATAGGTTTCAAGCGGGACGACTTTGCATGCATGTGAAAGAACCGTGAGACCTTGGTTGAGTCTGAGCTAGACGGGTATGGTAGAACGTAATTAAGATAGTTTGTAAAGAAATTGAAAACATGTTACGGCGGTTACAACCCGGGAGTCAACTATCGGCTTTCAGGTAGAAGGGTCGCATGCGTTAATAGAATCAGAACCCACATTTCAACTGGTACACCGTACACCACAAACACTTATGAATGAGACACTTAATATGCAATTGGAGGTTGAGGAATCAGACCGCTTATGCGGATCATGGAGGCTCTCTTACTTCAAAAAAGATCAACTACTATCGTCAATACTCTCTCTCTCTCTAGACTGTGGTGTCGTTCTCCACTCATGACTCAACAAAGAAAATTAAGGCTCCCATCACAACCTAGCTACTGGAGGTTTGAATCCCATTCCACAACAGGTTATTATGTGCTTGCCAAAGTCCCCACAAAATCATATTAAGCCCACAACATCGCTCCTCATTCTTAGTTAACTGAACTCTTCAACCCAACCAAAGAATGGGTCACCCAACTGTTGGTAATGCAAGGCCTTTCCATTTCTTTGTGTTCTTCTCGGCCGATGTCGCCATCTGACCTGTCTATTTTGACTCGCTCGGATCGTGGCTGGGCCCACTAATTTTTGGGGCCTCGTGGACTTGATTTATTCTTTGTAGAATCTGTCAAGGCCATTTTTTTAAAATTAATTTGACTTGGCTGAAACTGCCTTGCTTGTTTGACCTTATCAAACTATGGTTATCCGGAAATGCTCGACTCTTTTTTCTCCTAATATCAAGAAAGCAGTTACGCACTTTGAGGTGCAGGTTTTACTATTTAAAGGAGACTGTTCTCTCCCAGGATATGAAAAAAAAAGATAACATTCTTTTAGTGCTTTCTCTTCTTCCAGTTCTGAGTAATACAAAGAGTTCCATCTCTTCTCTCTCGAGTGCACGAGAAAGAGGAGCACCGTGTAAACCTTGGGGGGCGACGTCCAAAATTCCTGATTGCACCAAGTCGGGGACGAAATTGCTTCTAAGTCAGTGGGTTTCCATGACACGGTTCTTGTTCTTCATTATGTTTTCCAAACAATCATTGGCCCTAAATTTGAGTTTCCTCATTGTCAGAGTTTTCTATTGTTCATCCAACAATTTAGAAGTGATTTATTGACTACTTTGACATGGCTTCCTCTAGTAAGTTGAAACTGCTTTCTGATATGAGCAACCTTCAACCCCTAGATGGTTCCAATTACAAGCAATGGGCTAATCGAATTCTGATTTATGTCGAACAACTCGAAATATATTATGTTCTATTTAATGACCCGCCAAAGTTAGATACAGCCGATGAGAATCCTGTTACCCCTGGATCAGGGGTCTCGTTTCAGAGTGTGACTCCTACATCATCCAAGGATAAGGGCAAAAAACATGAGGGTTCTGGGGAAATGATGCAGAAATACGAAAAGGACAACAAACTGGCCAAGAACATGCTGTTGAGCCGAATGGTTGACTCTGTATTTGATCTGTACTATACTCAGAAATCAGTCAAGGCTATTTGGGACGCATTGGAGAAGAAATACGGGGCAAATGATGCTGGAAAGAAGAAATATGTGGTAGGAGAATGGGTGAAGTTCAAGGTGGACGAGAAGAAACCAATCATGGAGCAAGTCCATCAATATGAGAATCTGGTTACTGAAATCCTCGCTGAAGGGATGAAGATGTGCGAGATTCTACGAGCAAACGTACTGATTTAGTACATGGCCCAGGGACCCCCGGCCCACATACTTCCACTATTACAATCAGTCCCATCAGACCCAAGCGGGCCAAAGCCCAGCAAGATGGAGCTCTGAGCAACCCGCGATGCATGAAGGAGTGCCTTCGGC